CAGGCAGAGAGAGAGGAGGAAGCAGGCTCCCTGCTGAGCAGAAAGCCCGATGCAGGGCTTGAACCCAGGACCTGGGATCATGACCTGAGCCGAAGGCAGCGGCTCAACCCACTGAGCCACCCAGGCGCCCCTAACACTAAATGTTTTAATTGGAATAACAGCATCATTGCTATTAATGACTCACCCTTCTACAGTGACTCTAGTGCACTCTGGCATGGTTCTGCATAGTACTGGATAGCTGGCCCTCCTCAGGTCTCACAATTGTGGTTTCTTTCTCCCATTTCACAGATGCAGAAACTGAGGCACAGAAAGGTTCTGTGCCTAAGATTATATCGGTAGTCAATGGTAGAGTCAGGATCTGAATTCAAGTAGTCTGGCTCCAATGTCTGTACTCTTGATAATTTAGTTATACTGCTTCAAAAGAGTATATTATATAAATGCAGATACTCTCAACATGATAAAAACATAGGCTGAGAGACGCCTGGGTGGCTTAGTCGGTTAAGTGCCTAACTTCGGCTCAGGTCACAGTCTTAGGGTCCTGGCATCATGCCCCACGTCAGGCTCCCTGCTTGGTGGGGAGTCTGCTTCTCCCTCTCCATCCACCTCTCCCCCCCTCCCCACCCCATGCTCCCCCTCACTCTCACTCTTTCTCTCTCAAATAAGTAAAATCTTTTTTAAAAAGTAGGTTGATTGGGACACCTGGGTGGCTCAGTTGGTTAAGCAGCTGCCTTCGGCTCAGGTCATGATCCGGGCGTCCTGGGATCAAGTCCCACATCGGGTTTCTTGCTGGGCGGGGAGCCTCCTTCTCCCTCTGCCTCTGCCTGCCACTCTGTCTGCCTGTGTTCACTCTCTCTCTCTCTCTCTCTGACAAATAAATAAATAAAATCTTTAAAAAAAAAAAAAAGTAGGTTGATATCCAAAAGATTAAGATAATACTTCAGGGATTCATGACCTTCTATGTCAAGATACTGAGGAGTCAAAGCCCCTTCAGGATGAGACCCAGCCCTTCCAATTTCCCGTTTTGTGATCCTTTGCTAAGCAGATTAAGATCTCATCTGTAAATCTGGGATAAATAATTCCTGCTCTACTTTTTACACAGGGTTATTTGGGGATAAAATTGAATAAGATCACAAAGTATCATTTTAGAAAAAATTTAGATATTAAAACATTAAGCTAATGAGATAATGACACTTTGTTTTACAAATCGCAAAGCTCTGTGCAGATAGTTTTTTAAAAGTTCCTTTCAAAAGGCTTAAAAAATAGTTTTAACAGGCTCTCACCTAGACTTCTGAAATAGATTCCAGACACTTCCCTGCCTCCAGTCTCTCACAACTGAAATCTACGTTTCACAAACCATCATCTGATGAGTTGTCTAAAAACAAGTTATTCACCCTTTAAAAATATTTGAGAGAAACCCAATACCTACTGAAGTTATTATAAATCCCTCAGATGTGAAATCTGGGGACTACTGAGATGTGGACCAAAGTCAACCATGACTGAACAGCGGAAACAGTCCTGGAATATGCTGACCCATGACTTAGTCTTAGCTCTGGAAACAGATAGTCTCGAAGAACTTAACAGCTCTCTGAAGTACTTTCTCCTAGGTAGCACCTTGTGTCTACCCAAATCCATGTAGCTACTGGGACATGGACTGAGCACTGAGCACTGAGCACATGAAGACGAATAAGTTCATCGATAATTCACAGCATATAGTCCCTTCAGCTCTTTGAGTCCACTGTTCAAATTATATCGCTCATTGTTGTCCCACAAATGCCCAACACTCATGTGCTACTCCATCATCCGCACTGACTCAGCTGGTAAACCTCCTCTCTATGCCAACCTCACCAGTCAGTTGCCTTCTCATCTTTGGAGGTTTACCTTAAAGGCCACAATTCCAGGAAACCTTCCTTAATCCCTGACTGAGATGGTCTTCTTTCTACTTTTGAACACATGCATCATAGTGTTGTTGTTTTTCTTCTCTCTCTCTCTACTATACTTCTGCATGTATGATTTTCCAGATACAAATTCTGTTATCCTCAGTGGTTCTAGAGGGTCAACTTCTGAAGAGCAAGGCTGGTGTTTCTCCTGCTCACTCCTGTAGGGGCCAGCATAGTGCCTGATGAGACAGACTGATGACCCCAGCAAGGAAGCAACTTTTAGAGGGTTAACGGCTTAGTGTTTCGAACTGTCTTGACATAAACAGAAATGAGTCAAGACCCACACACATCACATGCTGTCCTCTGACAAGATGCACTGGCCAACAATCCTAGGATGGAGTAGCAACCCTTGCACCAATCTTGTAATAGAAATAATCATGATAACTAGTGACAATTAACAGTTATTAATTCTTTGTAACAAGAGAACACATCAGGTTGCACCATATGAAATTCTTACCTACAAAAAAGGCAATTTCTTACGATCCAATCTAATATTTTGCTAATTTATTATCTATGCTCCTCCCCCAACTCATCCTGAAGAGAGTCCCCATGAGAGCAGGCATTTAAAGAAAAAAAAAATTATTTATTTATGGGGGGGGGAATGGGCAGAGGGACGAGCAAGTCTCAGTGTGGAGCCTGATGTGGGGTTCTGTGTGGCTCAAACTCACAACCCTGAGATCATGACCTGAGCCAAAATCAAGTCAGATGCTTAATGAACGGTGCCACTTCTGCGCCCTGAGAGCAGGCATTTTTCTACATTTTGTTCACTATTATATCTCTAGTGCCTGGGACATAATGGCATTCAGCAAGTATTTGTTGAATTAATGAATGAACTTGCTAAACACCAACTATTTGTCCTACACTCTACTACATGATTTATATCATATAGTCCATTTGTTTCCTCCTAACATCCTGATTACTCTTCTTCCTCAGGTGAGAAAACTGCGGGTTGGTGAGGTCAAGTAACTCACCCAAGACCACACTTTTGACTAATGTTTTATGGTAGGCCATTTGTATTTATCTATAAAAGTTGTTTAAATTTAGGCTATCTTTCCTCCCTCAAGTAGACCATGTATAGATTTTACTGGAAACAGTAAGAATTGTAATATCGAGAGGAGGTGAGGAGGGGAGGGGAAGCAAAAAGAGAGACAGCAGTCAGTGGGTAAGGGAAGGCTTCCATTTTAGTGAAATGCAGTATAAAATAGTATCTATAAATTACCCGCAGCCCTTCAAATCCTGTGCCTGAGAGTGGGTCCCTTCAATTGTCTTGACATTTGGAGCCCCATCACTGGCATTGCTTTCTTGGGAACAGCAAGTGGGTATTGGATGGCGGTTGCCTATAGCCTTCAGGTGAATCTCTTTGGATTACCAGACTTTTCTGGCAAGCAAGGAAGTGTTTTCACCCTTTTTTACCATTTCTTCTGTGGACTGCATTGTAGGCCCCTACTTACAAAACCCTGTTGTTTTATAAGACTTTCCCCTAACCTGTCTTGGAGATACAGTGCCCAAAACAACCACGTTCATAGTGTTTTTAAATGAAGGAGCTTTGAGTTCAAACTTTGTTGATGTTACTCACTCTCCTTCCAAGGCAAATATGCTGTTTATCTTTTAGAGAAGGAACAGTGTAACCTTGGAACATCTTCTTTAAGAACAATGGTTATAATCTGTTAGTCCCAGTGTTTTGACGCCAGAGTTCTTGTGTCCCATTTACAATTTGCCCAGAAGTAGCCCACTGTCATTTCCATTTTTGCTGAAACGTCCTTTCCCTTCAGCTTGAAAGAATCAGTTTATTTTCTAGGACACAGAATTTAAGATAGTCCCAATATACATTTTCTAAAAGTTGAAAGAAGATAAATGATTTCTCAAACTCCCTGAAGTAAAATGAACAACTCTGTGCTGCCATAAAATCAGGGTGACCCTCCCAAGTGATAATTCTTTGAGATTTGTAAGACATTTTGAAATAGAGAGAAAAAAGCCCGCATTTCTTTCTGGAACTTGCAGTCTAACCCTGTAAGTATAAGGCTGCAAAACAAAAAGACGGATTGTGAATGAAAGCATGGGAGGCAACTGAACGGGGGTGAATCTCTGGGTCTTACCACGTTCTAGTGAGTGGCCTCTGGCAAGTTAGTGAACATCATAAGCCCTCAGTTTCTTCGTGTGTAAAAGAAAGTTATCACTACCTGCACTGTAAGGATGAGGAAATTAATGTAGCATGCAGGACAGTATCCAATACACAGTAAAAGTTGAATAAATATGAAATAAAATATTAAGCATTAAAATATATAAGGAGAAATGGTTCTCTAAAACCGACTCTCTTGGGGGCAGCTAGCTGGATCAGTTGGAAGAACATGTGACTCTTGATCTCTGTGTTGTGAGTTCACGCCCCATGATGGATGTAGAGATTTCTAAAATAATAATAATAATAAAAATAAACAACTTAAACAAACCTGACTCACTTCTAATGCTCGAGCCCCTTGGTGATTTTAACCATCTTTTACTAAGAATCAGTGGAATAAATTTAACATCTTTTTCTGTGCCTTTATGGACTAATTGAGGATAGACCTACACCCTTAAAGAAGCCATACTGAGAAGATTAAAAGAGAAATTGCTTCTTTTTTCCCAAACAGCACAATTCAGGCATGAAGAAAATAGCAGAATATGCTATTTGTTGGAATTAATGGGTCATTCCACACGGAAAAGCTTCTACTAGCTCTGAGATCAAGATTTCTAGAGAAGTTGGGGCGCCTAGGTGGCTCAGTGGGTTAAGCCACTGCCTTCGGCTCAGGTCATGATCTCAGGGTCCTGGGATCGAGCCCCGCATCAGGCTCTCTGCTCGGCAGGGAGCCTGCTTCCTCCTCTCTCTCTACCTGCCTCTCTGCCTGCTTGTGATCTCTCTCTGTCAAATAAATAAATAAAATCTTTAAAAAAAACAAACAAACAAACAAAAAAAAGATTTCTAGAGAAGTAAATAAAATGCAAGTTGATCCTTTCCATGGTGGTACAAAATATACATGATGCACCTTTAAAAAAGAACATTGGATGAAGAACACTGAGGATTCTCACCAGTTTGGAGCTTTCATTTTCAGGCAATTGTTTAATACCAACTTCGAGACTGCCATCATCCTCACTGCTAACAGGTTCCGTACCACTTTGATCCTATGGCACATTAAGAAGAAAATGATGATGTTTTTCTTCACTCACACTGCCCAGAACTATATAGATACTCAACCACAATAGCTTATTTTATTATTGTTGTAGATACTGTTTCCTCTCTAGTGGCCATTCCTAGCTTCCTCCTTTCCATTAGAAGGCCATCCCCACAACTTCTCCTCCTACCCACCCCCACCACCCAGATCTGTCCCTGCACCTTATGGATATGTCTTAGAAAAAGCTGTTCCCTATTCTCTGTTGTTGTTGTTGTTCCCTATTCTCTGTTGTTGTTGTTGTTCGATGTTGTTGTCAGGAGTGGGTATGTGATCCAGTTCTGCTCAATGAGACACAAAGAGACTTCTAGAAAAGTTCTTTTAAAAAGATTTTTACTTTTTATGTAATCTCTATACCTAGTGTGGGGCTTGAACTCACAATCCCTAGCTCAAGAGTTGCATGCTCCACAGACTGAGCCAGGCAGGTCCTCCAGTTCCTCCTTTGTCTTAAAAGAACCACAAGAAGTCCCTTCCCACCTTCCACATTAACAAGAAAGCATGAAGCTCAAATTGCCATGTGCAGCAATCCCACAGTCCTGAGGAAACCAGCGTTGAGATGAAGCTGATACTGTGAATGACAAATTGGAGATGGAAAAGGTGGACTCTGATGGCAAACGTGGGCCACTGCATCAACCTGACCTAAGTACAGTCTTATTCTTAGCAGCCTTCACCTGAGACCTCAAATGTTTACTTAATGTTTCAGCCAGTTAGCACTTCTATTTCCTCTGGCCAAAACTTTCTGAGATGCTTGTTTATCTCAGTGAAAATTAAACTACTTGAGATAAGACACTGTATTTATCCTGTTTATCTCTGAAACGCAAGTACCTAAAACTACCTCTGGTGCATGAAAAACACTGGACAAATCCTGGGTAAACCACTGCATGGACAGTTGTTTCCTTGACAGTTATTTTCTGCAAAATTCTAAAAATATTTATTTAATATAAATGAGACATCTTTAAGAATAAGGCCTATTAAAATTCCAAAACAGGGGCTCCTGGGTGGCTCAGGTGGTTAAGTGGCAAACCCTTGATTTTGGATCAGGTCATAATCTCAGGGTCCTGGGACTGAGCCCTGTGTCAGGTTCCATGCTCAATGGGCAGTCTGCTTGAGATCTTCTCCCTCTGTCCCTCCCCCAGCTTGTGTGTGCACACATGTTCTCTCTCTCTCTCAAATAAATGAATAAATTAAAATAAATAAATAAAATTCCAAAACACATTCAGTATCTCCTCAATTGAACTGTAACATATTAAATGTTATACTTAATTCAGAAGTTTGTTTATTTTCTGAGGGCACATAAGGGAGAACAGGATGATACATAGAGTATCTACATTGTATTTATTTGGATTTTTATGTTAAAACACCACCATTTTGGCATTACTACAGATACGGTGGGACTGTTTGGAGAGAAAATAGTTTTGATCTTGGGACATTCAACCTCATCCTTGTAATTTAAGTAGTGCAAACTGAAGCAAAGATATAGTGTTCTTTCATCTATTGAATGGACAAGAGAATAGAAAGAGAACATTCAATATTGATAATGTAGAGAAAGAGAAATTTTTTTTTAAAAGATTTTATTTATTTATTTGACAGAGAGAGATCACAGTAGACAGAGGCAGGCAGAGAGAGAGAGAGAGGGAAGCAGGCTCCCTGCTGAGCAGAGAGCCCCATGCGGGACTCGATCCCAGGACCCTGGGATCATGACCTGAGCCGAAGGCAGTGGCTTAACCCACTGAGCCACCCAGGCGCCCGAGAAAGAGAAATTTTTACATGCCATTGAAAGAATGCAGGTTTGAAAAATTTTTCAGAAAAATATTACAAGGGGCACCTGGGTGGCTCAGTGGGTTAAGCCTCTACCTTCAGCTCAGGTCATGATCTCAGGGTCCTGGGATTGAGCCCTGCATCGGGCTCTCTGCTTGGCTGGGAGCCCGTTTTCTCCTCTCTCTCTGCCCGCCTCTCTGCCTACTTGTGATCTCTCTCTCTCTGTCAAATAAGTAAATAAAATCTTTAAAAAAAAAAAAAAAGAAAAAATTACAAAATATACGCATATATAGATACACATGCAGGAAAATACTTGTCAGCATATAGAACAAATTTTTTAATTGCTTACTTCTGGGGAATAGTATTAAAGAATGAGGAACTGTTGCATTAGTTATTTCTATACTGTTTGATTACAGATGAATTTGTATGTATTATTCCAAGTTTAAGAAATAAAGGAGAGCTATAAGAAATATCTAAAAGAAAAAAAAAAAATCTAACAGAGAAAGTAGCATAGGGGCACCTCGCTGACCCAGCTGGAACAGCATGCAACTCTTGATCTCAGAGTCATGAGTTTGAGCTCCCCACTGGTTGTAAAGATTACTAAAAACAAACAACCCCCCCCCAAACCAACCAACTGGAAAAAAAAAAAACAAAACCCACAAAACTAAGGGGAAAAAAAAAAAGCATGAATGTTAAATTGCTCAGCTCCAGGTTCAAATCTCAACCTGCAAATTAGAACTATATGACTTTCAGGAAGGTTCTAAGTCTGAACAGTTATTTTTAAAGCACAGATAAAAGTACCAGATTAAAAATACTACCCCAGGGTTGCCTGGGTGGCTCAGTAGGTTAAGGCCTCTGCCTTCAGCTCGGGTTGTGATCCCGGGGTCCTAGGATCGAGCCCCGAGTCGGGCTCTCTGCTTGGCGGGGAGCCTGCTTCCTTCTCTCTCTCTCTCTGTCTGCCTCTCTGCCTGCCTCTCTGCCTATTTGTGATCTCTGTCTGACAAATAAATAAATAAAATCTTAAAAAAAAAAAATAAAAATACTACCCCATAGGTTGCCTTAAAGATTAATAAATTAACATGCAAAATGTCTATTAGTGCAACACCAGGTGAATTAATTTGCTTCCAGCTTTTTGTTGAGACAGGTTCTTTATCTATCCCTTGTTCCATGGAGTCTTCAGAACAACCTCATATGAGTATGTACCAAAGTCATTCCAATTCATTCATGGGAAGAGGATACATTTTAAATGAACTTGTCTAGCCAGTGAGAGGTGAACCCAGGATTCAAAGCTAGGAAAGACTGACATCAAAGGTGCTGTTCTGGTTAACTATGCTCTAGGCCCTAAGTAAATGATGCTCTTGTTTTTTTCTTCTCTCTTTATTCCTTGTCAGCACTGAGTGTTGATAACTAATCTTATAGAAAACAGAATTCACAATCTTAAAAATAAATCATCACTATCAGACCACTAATTTTTAAACCTTTTTAGCATTGGTTAACCAGAAAATCTCATTAGGTAGAACAACCTCCTCTCAGTGAATTTTGGGTAATCAAGAAGTCACCATATGAAATAAATATGCTCAAGTTAAGAAACTAAGCTTGAGAATATATTGATTTTCAGCATTTTAGACAGCAGTAAGTTCTATGGAGAGAAAAATTCAGAAGAAACAAATTACACTTTTATTTTTAAAAAATATTTATTTGACACAGAGAGAGAGCACAAGCAGAGGGAGTGGCTGGCAGAGGGAGAAGGAGAAGCAGACTCCTCACTGAGCAGGGAGCCACAGGTGGGGCTTGATCCAAGGACTCTGGGATCATGACCTGAACGGAAGGCAGATGCTTAACCACCTGAGCCACCCAGGTGCCCCTCAATTACACTTTTAAAAACCAAGACTTATTCTATAAGGGCCTATTTAGCCAGAGAGATTCCATCCGGTTAAACAGTGATTTTGTTGTTTATGCAGTAAAACTTAAACTGTCCCCCGCCCACCCCCCACCCCGGGAACTTACTTAAAAGCAAGTTCCGGGGCGCCTGGGTGGCTCAGTGGGTTAAAGCCTCTGCTTTCGGCTCAGGTCATGATCCCAGGGTCCTGGGATCGAGCCCCGCATCGGGCTCTCTGCTCGGCAGGGAGCCTGCTTCCTCCTCTCTCCGCCTGCCTCTGCCTACTTGTGATCTCTGTCTGTCAAATGAAATGAATAAAATCTTTAAAAAAAAAAAGCAAGTTCCAGAAACCAGTCCCAGGTAACAAAGCCCAGATACAAGGGAAGGTCGGGCCAGGTGGAGATATCTAATCAGTGGGGCGCACATACTGTCTCCCTAGCTACCAAGGAGTGTGGGTCCTGCCTTTTGGGCGCCAATTCTGACCAAGGTGATAGGCTAGTTCAAATATCTACTAAGGTAAATTGTAATTCAATTGGCCACCCGTGTGTAACCTAGCATGACTATGCAGCTTTCTCTGTGTGCTGCAATCTCACTGGCCACCTGTGTGTGGCCAGGCTCAACCACATGGACTTTGCTCTATAAAAAAGTGAGTCTGTAAGGCAGGGAGGGGTGGCCTCTTTGTAAGAGACGGCCCCGGCTGGTCGGTTTGATTCTCGATGCTTGGTGTGAAATAAAGCTTTGCTTGACCTTCGCTTTGAATCAGTCTCGCACCTTTGATCACGGACCCATTATTGGGGGACCTTTCAATTCTATGGGAAACCTTTAATGCCCCCAAGTATTTCATGTGTCTGCTTCTCTAAGCTGTGGTGAGCCCCGAAGAAGCCCTGGGACAGGGGGCGGCTTATGTGTGGGGGGGCTATGCTATCTCACCAAGGCTTTGAGACATTCAGTGTTTGTAACTGCAGCACATTGAATTATAGAACAAATACAAAGGGGGTTCCTCTAATCCCAAATGAGAGGAGATTTTCACCAGGATGGTGGCCAGCTGATGTCATTCATCTAATTATGCACATGTCTTCTTGGGGGAAAGCAAAGCGCTTTGTAAATAAGTCAGAGGATTCTTTTACATTTCTCAGCAATGTGAGTACAGAAGTGAGGTTTTCTTGGTCTTTATAAAATGAATACTGAAGTCAAAAGAAACCAGGTGTTTGATGCTTCAGCTCTGAAAATGTAAGAAAACGTGGGCAAGACAGTCGAGATTACAAATGGGCTGTAGATCTTTTAAGATTTGGATAAAAACAAAAGAGAATATCCTT